TCTTTGGCATGATGTGCCATGATAAGGTCAATTAGGAGATTGCATCAGTGCTAGAGAGAAGGCAGAAGAAAAGGCTCCCTCTGTTGTGATAGTTGCATAATGCAGAGACTTGGAGACTGTAATAGAAAGGAACTAGGCTTCAATTCTGCCAAAGAACATATTTCAACGTATAACTTACTTGCATGTAATGTGTTTAGTATACTTGCTTAGCCTCACATTTGTTTTAGCAATGGAATTTGTTCCATGTGCAAATATTATAGTAAGTTATTTAATTCACTTTAAAAAATATTTGGAAATTCTTTGCAAGTTTTTGCAAAACTTGTGAATTTAAAAAGGATTTGGGTTTGATAGTTTGCTTTTAGTTTCTTATTTTGCATCTCTAAGTTGACTGAAATAAGAACAAAACAAAATTCAACTCTTTAACTCAAATGTAACATAAAGAAAGGCTATGTAAAGTAAGAGTACAGCATTTTAGCTTTTGGGACATGGCTATAGCACCATTTAATTAGTGTAATTTCCTTGGTAGTTCATTGAAATTAAGGGGACAACTGTATTTTTACTCTAGAAAGTTATTTCTGAGTTCCACCCAGACTCCTAAATCTATAGGATATTGTGTAGTGTCATTCACTTTTAATAATCTTTATGAATCAACCCATTTTTATTTACTGTTGTGGGGAGGGCATTAGATAGACCTAAGGTCAGGATAATTGAATAGATGAATCCTGTAAAGATGTGAGTGCTTCTACAAGGCAGTAAGTGCTCAACAAATGCTCAATTTGATAGTATAACTATAAATAGCTTATTTGAAAATTCACAATGGATCAAAGTTGTACATCTTCAGACTAAGTATTCTTTCCTTTTTGTGTTTAATTGTGGGGGACCAGCTTGTTGATTTGGAACATATGGTATATAAATAAATAAACAAATAAACAAACATTAACAGACAAACAGAGGCTGCCAATATTACTTTTAAAGCATTAATTGCATATAAAACCAGCTTCCTTAATTCTAGTCTGAATCGCAGACACAATGCTGGCTGGGATGATGAGGAATATGCTTCAATTCATTTTAGAGTAATCAGATTGCAGAAGGATGAAGTAGGTCAAGATCGTTTACTTACAAGGTACTCAACAGTTGTAGATTAGGAAAGAAAAAAAAAGCTTGATACAAAAAAAAATGTAACTGGATCCCGAACTTGCACCAATAATCAAGAACTGTGCTGTATGAATGCAGCATTCTGGATTAGGTTAATTGGCGCAGAACATATGAAGCCTCAAATATCAAGTTTAATGTGCAGGATTTATTAAATTCATGAGAATAAGAACACTAACTCTGTTAAATTTGAGTTTTGTTCTGAAGTCATCCACTTTTGGACCCTGGTCTCTGGTATACCACTCAATGGCGAGTGTGATCAAGAAAGATTCTCCATGTCTTTTTTAGAGAAAGATATTCCAATCATGGTATCCTCTTCCTGTTCATTGGGACCAACACCAAGCTTTGAAAGCTTTCAGATCAGCTGAAGACTTGTCAGTGTTAATTACTCTTGCTGTTGGGTTTTCATTCTTGCTATCCTTTATTATGGTTTTAAGCTGAAAAATATTTTTTTATCTTGATACCACAAGGTTGAGATTGCTTATTAATGATGAAAATTAGATAATGCATTATCTAAGTAATTATTATGTTTGACTATGTACCATTAAGTCAGTATTGATTCTCAGTGACCATGTAGACAAATTTCTAAATAAATAGTATTAATAATAAATAAAAAGGGATCCTTTATATTATGTGGGAAAAATAGAAAAATAATAAAATCTAAAGCCATTACTATATAAGGAGCCTTTATAGATTAATTGAAAAGTTTCAATTTTTTTTCCATCTGCACAATTGTGGCTGTTTGTACTCCTCAAGGAGAAATGTTTCATAAGACAATAAAAATAAACAATACTGGCATCAATTGCATTTTTGTGAAACAATAGCACTTTGTTCACAGATCACTGTCCTAAAACTTGCCTTGTGGATACTAAAAAAGAATAATTCATATTGGCTATTGAAGGCCACAAAAAATGTTCATGGAACAGTGAGCTGCTCCTAAAAATAAGAAGAAAATGCTGAAGAAAAAGAGTTGATTGCTATGGAAATATAAATCATTTGCAATGCAACCAATGGTATTGAAACATGTCTGGATTCCACCCATGAGTTAATCAGAAAATGAGGAATGTCAAGTCTGAAAATGAGGAATGCCACTGATTGTGTATGGTTAGACATTTTGATTAGCACCGCTCAACAAATGACAGCTGCACTCATACTGCCTCTGAAAAATAATAAATAATACATTTGCTACTTTTCAACACTCCTTGGAAGAAAAGTATTTTCAAAATATTTTGAATCCCAAAATGTCTGATTAGGTTGTGAATTATGTTCAACTTGTCTATATCTGATTTTAGAGTTCAGGAAATAAAACCTTTATATTGTTCACACTAACCAAGACATATACAAAATAGTTTGGCTAAACTAATATGTCTGCTTTGATTCCAGAGACCAGGAGGGTGGGCATAACTTTATTTTCTGTTTGATTGTATCAAATGTCTTGTTTAGATGATATACAATGGAAAGTGAGACAAATATACAAATCCTATCCTATGAAATATTTGTTCTGGTTATATATGTTATAAAATTGCATACAAAGAATGCCATTTTATCTACGGTGTGACCGTTCTCCACAATTATTCTACCTCTGTGTGTCATCTTTCCAGTTAGTTTAAACAAATTAAGTTTGCAGTATCCTAAAAATAAAGTCCAATCCTGATACCAACAAGCAGTAAGTTCAATATAACTTCATTAGCTGAGGATTTACAGGATCCATTGCCAAAAAAAACCCCTCTCCTATTTACATAGGCCATAGGCTATTGCATGTAATTCTTTGTTTTTGTAACAGTGCCTTGTATTTACTATATGAGTTTTACTATATATTTTTAAACACATCTTTCTGGAAAAAAAAATACTTTGGTTCTTGAAGTTTCATAAAAATTGAGAAGAAATGAACTGGAAAAAATCTGATATCCATATTTAAGTTGAAAGACTTCAATGTCTATTAATAAATTGTGTGCTAATTTTTTTCCCCATCTAAAATAAAAAAGTATATTTTTAGAAAGCTTTTGGTAAATTTTAGTACATTTTTTAACCTAGCAATCTTACTGAATTAGCATTTACAATTCTGCAGCATTACCTACTAAAACTGAATTTAGAATATGTAATAGACAGTAGAAGCATCTTTATTTTAGATAAAATCATCATTGGTCTAACTAACTGCCATGTTTTAATATCAGCAGATCTCTATGTGGTTCAGAAGTTCTTTTCAGCTTTATCTGAAAAAGCCAGAATTGAAACTTATACCCTCTTCATAGAAAACATATTTAACTACCAAACAATAATACTTTCCTTTCCTTTGATATTAAATATTCATTTCCTTGAATAAATAAGTTCTTAATTTTTCCAAGGAAAAATGAGACAATATAAAAGAAAATGAAATGTGCACGGTACTTAAATATTTGGAGCACATAAAATGAGTCCTCAGGTTGATAGTGGGGGAAAAAAGGCATTTGATGGTATCAGCTACACTTTTAAAAGTACTGTTATGCTTAGAGTTTGAAAGGAGGCAGGGAGAACAAAGTTTTTTTAACAGTAGATATACTGTTTGTGGTAGAAATACAAATAAATAATCAAATAAATAACTATTGAGACATTGACATTAGCCTTCTAGAATTGGACTTGTCTATAATGAATATTTTACAACAGAAGAATGTATTATTTTCAGGAATTTAATATCTGAAATGTGTTCCAAAAGTACAAAATACATTTTCCAGTTTAAAATCTCCTAGTTAAAAAAAAAAGTCCTAGTGATTCTGCATCACTAAATTTTTTAACTTTTAATTGAACTCCCAATATCTCATTTTCTTGCCAAGAAAATCCTATCTGCATCCTTAAGGCTCCTACAGATCTGGTAAGAACAAAAGCCACTATTGTGCCATCCAAAGATCACTTACCAGGTGAGAATATTAACAACAAGGACTTCTGCAGTTGTGAAATGAAATGAAAGAATCCAGTTCACAAGTCAAATGGTGCAAAAATAGGATGTGCAATTTAACCTACACAGAACAGGGATTGAGGCACATGGATTTTAATTAGCACAGATACAGTAGATCTTATTCAGGCTGGAACTAGAGGGCTTTTTTACCCTGAAAATAACAGTGAAAACAAATAGTAAAAGTATGGAAGAAACTAACCTTATAGCTTGGAATGAATCGTACCTTTCCACTACTATTACATAGAAAGTCATCTTACACAGTACTGAAAGCAAACTGAGCATTGCAAGAGGTTTATTCCAGAAATCAATTCTGAAGTATTTGCCCAAAATGTGGAATATTAAACTCTGTGTTTAAAAAAAGAAAAAAAAAATCAACAATTTTGTGAAAAACAAATGTAAAGGTTTTTTTTTTTGACATCATGCTTTTTCATCTCTGAAAAAGACCAGAAACAACATCTTGAAACCTGTGAAGTAAACTGAAGTGACTTTTCATTGAATTCAGATTCTCCTCAAAACAAAGTTGTGGAGAACTTCTACAAATACAAATCTGCTTCCAGAACAAGTTTAAAAGACAGAAGTAATGTAAGAATGACTATTCAAAACACCCCTATCTTGCTTATCTGTATGCTACATAGTTAACTGTAACCCAAAGAAAACAGCAATTTCTCCATTGTATGAGAACAATTAAGATAAACATTGTTACGTGATTGTGTCAGGTGTAGTTAGCAAAAAATCTCAGATGTGAAGTGACTTTTTTTTTTCTTTTAGACAAAACAGTAAATAAAAACTTCTTTTTCTTGAATGAGAAAAAGTAAGTCGATTTTTCAGGCTTTCAAATGAAACCATTCAGGATCCGTCTTTTCACATATTCCCCATCCATAAGAAGTAGGAAAAACACAGTTTTCTTCACAGTTTTCTAGAGATAGAGGTATCCAACCCAGTAGACCAGGTTAAAAAGCAGGAACGATGTAGGGAAAAAGACTCTGGAATAGGAGTCAAGTTCTAAGATGTCTATGTGTATCCGCCCTTTCCTCCAGGAACCCGATTTGCATTCTTCATAACAGCAGAAAAAACTCTGACAGTCTTTCCCATCCAGACACTCATAGATACAATTGTCTTCAAATTCTTGCCAGTACATGGCATTGTTCAGTGCGATGACTGTAGGGGGAGGTCTCATCTCTAACACAGAGTAATTCTGCAAAAAAAAAAAAAAAAAAAAGAGAGAGAGAGAAAGAGAGAGAGACAAAGAGGCTGTACTATGGCAACCACAGAAATCTTGATGTGTCCTGCGTCTAATACAGGCAATCCAAAGAAACCATGTTGTTCAGCTTTTCTTTGACACTTTATATGCCAAGATACATACATCTGGATGTCACAAAGCAGCGAAATATAGAAGAGTATATTTTGGTGAGTGGAAGTAGGTTTTGGAAGGTGGAGTATCCAACACAATTTTTTTCTGGATGGCACTCAGGTTTAAAGGAGCTTTCCCTATTTAAAAACCACTATGAAAAAAAACACAAAAGGACACCTATTTTCTGCCATGTTCCCATGAGCTTTTCTTCACCTTGGCTTCAGTGTACAGGTGAGACAGACATATGCCAGATTTTCGGTATCTGGGCTGGTATTAAGAAAATATTTTGCTTCTTATTCTACCTCCATGCATGGGGAACCTCAAAATGTATAAATTGAATTAGGCTCTGCCAGACATTTCCTTGCATTGACATCAAGCAGTGATTGGAAACAGATACAGAACAGGGATGGGCAAAGTCTAAAACGAATGTTGTGTTGTGATTCATCTTTTTGATGAATCAGGGATTTATGAGGACCCAGATCATTAGGGGGAATATGCTGACTCTGTAAACCACTTAGAGAGGGCTGTAAAGCACTGTGAAGTGGTATATAAGTCTAAGTGCTATTGCTATGGCTATTATAGGTAGCACTTGAAAACTACCCAAAAACCCAAAGGCAATTTTATTGATTTCCCAATGTGAAAAGGTAAGGGGAACATACAGATTTAAGACGTACTATGATGGCATGGTTCTTTAAGACTGAGCAATAATAATAGTTGTTTAATTAAAATTATAATGGTATTTAATATAAGATGTTTACAAATAAAATATAAATAAAATAAGTTTTAAAATATTCATACTCACCATCATGTGACCAAAGCTGACATCAGGCAGCTCAAATAAATAAAAAAGTAAAGTATAAGAACACAAGTTATAAAACAATGCATTTTTGATATTTCAATTATTAAGGAAATCATAAAAGATATCATAACAGTGTGTCTACAAAAAATTACTTCCATTAATTCAGAAAGATTACTATTGAGTAAACATGAACAGAGTTGCCTTATCTTATCCCATTTATTTTTGATAAGTATCCACTTTATGTAACAAGATCCAAGACAACATATACGCTTTTACCTTTTCATGCTTTCATTGCAAATTGCTTAAATTGTGACCTTCAACTCAGCAGAGCAGCCATATGATTCACCTGTAGCTGCAATTAGCACAAGGAAAAAGGTGGTTCCCACCAATTTTTTTGTAAACCTAACCCCAATACCAGTCCAAATTCTAACCCTTGTATTGATTTCAAGTAGAAGTGAGTTTTCAAATATCGATTTCTTGGCTACAGAGCATAAATGAATATATTACCTGGGATTTAAAACAAAGTAGCTATTTTTTTCTTTTTTCTTTTTTTTTTGATAACAGGGAAGTGATCTATGGGAGTAAATTCTACTAGTTCAAACAAAGAAAAAAACCCAGGTTTGTATTATAGGTTCTAGTTAACTACAAAATCATCACATTTTGCAGCATTGTTTCATGGGGCTTTAATAGCCTGGTCATTTCTATTTGTATGAACATCAATACTAATTAAGGGTCTGCTAAACTTTATTTGGAGTCAGATGTGAGCAATCTCACATTCATGTTTTATAAAGATGGAAAGGTTGCAACAAGCAGGAAAAGAATGAAAATTTTACAGGGCTATACATTTATGAACAAAGCCAGGAATTTGCTGTTTTTCTACTTTTAAAACATTTTCTTCGTTTTAAAACTATATTAACATTGATTGAATATGTGGCATCAAATCATTGTTGATTCTCATGGTCGATATTAGTATTATTTACAGATTAAAGTTTTGCAAGGAACAACTTCAAAATGATGAAATTGTTGCTAGCAGCTGGGTTTTAGCTTGAGTAAAATCATTGTAGAATTTAAATGCAAGGTTGTCAGTAGAGGCATGACTGAACTGAACAGTTACTACCTGTAAGACCAGACCCTTGTCAGTTTGATGATCCACTGTCATTATTCTAATTTATGAATTTGTTATAATTAATTCAATAATTTATTAGACATGGTTATTTTACATTACATACCCAGATCCCTGAATTTCTGTATAGTACCTTAAAATACTAGAGGCGTTTATCAATCAATCAATCATATTTATACTGCTGCATATCTCATGACCAACACTTTCAGTTGGGATAAAATGAAAAAGAATAAAATAAATGTGGTGAAAGCATTTCAGTGCACTAATTTCAGTGGATTTCTAGGACAAAGGACACTTACAACGAACTCCTATTAGACAGCATTAGCCAAAGTGGTTATTTAAGGTCTAAATCCAATTAATTACTTATCTGTGTGATAATGCAGAAGAATTGTGCTCCATTTTCAATAGGACTTTATCTTACCGACTTTTTCTTTTTTGCACAGTGTGGCTTCCTGCAACTTGAGTAGTAGTTCAGGGTTGCATACTCCATCAAAGCAGCGAAGACAAATAAGAAGCATACGGTCACAAAAAGATCCATTGCAGTGACATAGGAAACACGTGGCAAGGAATTTCTTGCAATGGTGCTCAGAGTTGTCATGGTTAATACTGTCGTGATACCTGGACAATAGAACATAATTTTCTTGTAATATTTCCAGAAATGTAGCTATCTTCAATTTTAGAAAAAAAATCTTACTTATTAGAGCATGAGTTTTGTTAGACTGTAACCTGGATTCCTTAAGAAATTTGATCTTTTTGAATTTCTGTTCCTGATTATATCTTCTGGATAAAATTTTAAAGGACATCACTTGAGTTTTAAATGGCCGTACAGCTACATTTAAAAAGGAAACGATATTTTCGGTAAACTCACAAGAAATGACATGCTTCAATAATATAGACAGAAACCACCCACCTATAAGCAATCCCATCCATGTCAAAAATGTTAATTATATCATTGCAATTTAATCCAAATGAATGGATTCAACTCCTCTTCCAATTGAACTGATTGTTGCAATAAAAAAAAAACTGAAATGAATGTGGGGTGAGGAAAAAATCTGGAAAGAAAAAAATAGACCCGTAGAATATAGTATACTTGTGACTACAATTGAACCCAAAATTTCTGTTGCTAAGCAAGACAGTTGTTAAGTGAATTGTGTCTCTTTTTATGACCTTCTTTTGCCACATTTGTTAAGGGTTAAGTGAATTATGGGGCTCCCCCCACTGGCTTTGCTTGTCAGAAGCTAGCTGGGAAAGTCATAAATTGTGACTCTGGGACACCGCAACTGTCATATACATACATGCCAATTACCAAGTGTCCAAATTTTGATCATGTGACCATGGGCATGCTACAATGGTCGTAAGTGTGAAAAACAGTCCCAAGTCACTTTTTCCAGTGCAGTTGTAACTTTGAATGATCACTAAACAAACAGTTATAAGTTGAGGACTACCTGTGTTTTTCTGAACTCTTAACGTCTGAAAAACATATGAAGAAAGCAAGTGCACGAAAATGTTGTTTTATTGAAAGCTTCAGGAACTGCTTTATATACTTCAATAAATTATTTGGTATCTGCTCATTATTTTTTTCCTGTGCATTCTTTATTACATCATATACCCTGTATTGCAAATGAAGAGTTCGCTAAAGCCGATGAAATCTTTAATTCATATAGTTGGAGCACTTCCCAGCATTTTAAAAATTGTTATCATCAGATGCATTAACATTTACAGTCATGGATCATAACTGAATTAAGAGAGTGACATCCAGAACTTTTTTGGCCCAGTAAATTTCCCTATTCATTCTAATTAAATAACATTAAGTAACTTTAACAAGTAATTCACTAAGTAACATTAAGGTTACTTTCAGCAGCAAGCTAAATTGCAGACAAATATCCCTTGAAATATATTTGAAATCAGGCATTTTACTATTTTACTTAGCTATTTTACTATTTATTTTACTATTTCTGTTAAAATATCCCCACCCCCTGCAGCTATGTTGAACAAGTAAGGTGAATCAACGACTATAATTAGGAGAGTAAAGGATAGTTTACTACAAAACTCTTAAATCTCGTTTTCATTTCTGTGTTTCTATATTGATTAATTCAGTTTGTTTATTGCCTGAAACACAGAGAAAACTTACAATCAGAATCATATTGTGATTTCTTAAATGATACTGTGATTTCTGTTGTCTGTAAATAGTCCATAATGGGTTACCAGAACATTGCACAAAATCTCCCATTTTAACTTTGATCAAATAAGCCAATTTTACATTCCTTCCTTTTTACTTCTAATAGTCTTAATCTTTAATTAATTTTTTTTTAAAAACCTAAAATTTGCAAAATGTGAATCTTTTATTCAATACCTCCAATGCTGCATGCTTTCAACCTTGCAAATTTCTCACAAGTCAGAAAGCATTCAATTAGTGAGATGAAAATACTATGGCAGGCAATTTAACTTCAACCTATGCCTCCTCAGAGTCAGACTGGCAATATAGGATATATTGAGAGATATAACAAATAGCTATTGGAAAAATCAGGACCAGGACTTTTTGTCAATTGTGTAAAACCACTTAAATGTAAACATTTAAATTTCTTTTAGTTTTGGATTGAAGTCACTTGTAATAAAAATGGAATTCAAGAGTTTGCTCTCTCATACCACACTTTTGAGAAATGAAAGCTACTTAGAACTGTGTCTGATTTTTCCTTCTCTGTAGCATTTTGCCTAATTTAAAAAGGGAATGGGTTTAGATAGCTCAGATTTTTATATGCCACCAATAGAAATGGTTTAAAATGTTTGTTTTAGGCATATCATACTCTATAACCATAGAATAATAGTCAAAGACATGAAAACAATTAATTCTGGGCTTCATGCAAATTCTACTAAAGTATAAAATCATTTCTAGGGTGGTCTTGAATAGTTTCTCTGTTCACACTTGTAAAACCTCTTTCACTGAAACTTCAGAGGATATCAAATATTGATTGTAAACTTTGAACCTATTAATTATTAACAACTCCCTCCCATAGCCTTTTAAACAATTGATAAAGGCTTCGGCCCAAATATTTTATCTCTGAATATGAATGCAAGTTATTATTTAAACTTCCAGCAGAGCATTCATGTGTGTAAGTCTGTGACATTAAAAAAAAATCTACTGGGAAAATGGCCAATATGTGAACTGTTTCTTGAATCAGTTTTGAGTTGCTCAGATCAGAAAATATTGGTAATCAAAATGCTGCACAATATGCAGAGACAAAGTATGCAGTTAGGATTCCTACCTATCTCAAAGGGAAGAGCAAAATAAAATGCATGCTAAGGTTCCTGTGCCATCACACTGTGGTTTTAGGCTTAACTTAGCTAAAACAGTAACTCCATTCCAGGGCCAGTCATGAATATAAACTCTGAATTCCACTTATTTTAGCCCTTTGTCATTGGCTTCTTGAACAAGTTCCAAAAAACCCCTTAAGCCAACCTGTGGATTTCCCTCATGATTACTGATCTCATCTAAAATTGGTTCATTACATTTAGAAGTAAGGTACAAAATTTGAAAGCTCTAATTGCAGTTGCTCATATGTTCACATTTGTATGTTACATCTCTGAGAGCCCAGATGTGAAAGCTTTTCAGTTATGAGACCTATTTCATAGGTTTTTCAGCAGACTAGGTGCCACTAGCAATCCTACATCAGTTAATGGTTGGTGGGTCCAAAATCAACATGGTGGAAAGTAGGTAGAATTTGAAAATAATGCAAAGGTTTCCATGAAACTAGGCACAGGATTGTGAGAAATTTCATATAAGATTTTGCTCAGCTCTTGAGAACATTGCTCTTATATCTTACATTTGTAAGTTTATACCTAAAATATATAAAATCATACAGAGGAAATGGTTTTTCCATAGTGGCTTATTGTGAAGACTTTTCCATTTCACTGAGTCAGCCAGAGGAGGGCCATGTTTAGCTCATATAGAGATCTCTGAATCTCAAACAAGTTTTTATTTTTTATTGGAAATAAGTCAATGATCTCCAATTTAGTTTCTGTCAGTGAGAGCCTTTAAGATTTGAAACAGTAAGTGAGAGCTTTGAAGAGTATTACTGAGTAGGAAGTTGAGGAAGAAGACAGTTTTAAGTCAGTGTTCTGCTGTGAAACAACATGTGCACATTTGCAGTTCACATATCCTTTCTTCACTTTTCTTTTATAAAATGCTTTGCCTTCTCGTAGGAGATTGTGAGATTGTCAAAGGAAGCTTAGATATGATGAAAACACATTGGGTCTGGTTCACATTAGTGGGTAAGTAGCTTTGCTTCAGTGGGAAGAAGCTATAAGTAGTAAAATTACAGGAAAAGAGCATTAGCTAGCAGGAAGCAAATATTTGGGACATCAAGTAGCCACTTACTCCAGCTATCACCATCCTGTCATGCAGTGCATGGAAGGTAATGATGCAGATTTGTTTAGCTGCTAATAAATTTTAAAACTACTTTCTAAGTTTCATGACTATCCTATACAATCCATGCCCTGCTGTTTACCAAAGCATTGGATGCCAAACACGGACACTCAAGGCAGATGAAGATGAATTTGCTCATATCTGTCAAGAAACAAATTGTTTAAGAATATTGCTACTCAGAAAAGTCATAACAAGAATCAAATTATTTAGGGGTTGGAAGAAGGGTTACAGATATTCCAATTGCATGTCCCAATAGGCCACATTTTTATATACTGAAAAACAGTCCCTATTTAATGGAAAATGCAACATATAAGTATTGGTGGAAATCTCTTTCTGTCTACATATATCCAGAGAAGCGATTATTGAGAATTAACAAATCCTTATGTAAAAGAAGCTGTTTGGTAAACTAACCTCTGATAAAACTGTAGTCACATTCTTAGCATACTCCCATAACAGAAAGAAAATTGAAAACTGCAAAGTGTTCTTCTCCATTAGTCCACAAAATCCTGATCAATAGGAACAGGGATAATTTTTTTACATTTAACGTATTATAAATTAAGTATGCTAGGAACTAGGATCATAGTAGGAAGTTTCCAGTGAGCTTGGAGGAGCCAAATTTTAGAAATATCAAAACTTTTAAAGGGTTAGGGTCCTGCAAGAGCTGGAGAAAACACTATATAATGATCATGAATGCTGACTGCTGGAGAAAAGGATTGTGATCAGGATTAGATTAGGATTCTTAAAAACAAGAAAAGGCGTAGTAAAAGCTCACTGGTTGTCTAGCTAAATTATTGGTGAACAATGATGTTCTCGCCCTTTATAAGAACCTATGTATTTAACTTAATATTATGATTGTACAAATAATATATATTTAAAAACACTGTTTCCCCCCTGATAATCTTTTGTTCAGCATCCAACCTGAAGTAAAGTTATGATGAACATTTCATGCCAATGCCATGTCTTCAAACAAACACAAAGAAAGGCCAGCTTTCCAGCCTTTTGAAAAAGAACCTTTGGGACAACCATAACATGGATGACTGAGAAACTCCATAGACATTTGATGCCAAATTTGGGGAGATGGGACTAAGGAAGAGTTTAGCACATATCACTTTGGACACTGTGGAGTGATCAACAACAGCCGAAGAAAAGCTAAGAAGATACAAAAACCAAGAGATTAATAGTAGAACACCAGGAAAATGATATGAGAATTCATCTTTCAAACACTTCTCCAACCAGGGGCTGGGAATTCTTGCAGAATATAAACATTTGTTAGCATGGTTATCTATTTATTGAAATTAAACAATTACTCACTGGAAATACATTAGAAAGAATCGTCATTAGGCTGAAGAATGAATAAAAATATTATGCCCAGTTATCTTACCTAGGGCTGTTCTTGCTGGTGTAGCATCTTTTTTAATCCAAAATGATACCCAGGATAGGACAACAGTTAATATACAGGGGATGTATGTTTGAATAGTGAAGTATCCCATTCTTCTACTTAATTCGAAGTATATAGTCATGACTATATAATCACCTGCAATAGTAAAAACTTGATATCATTGGAAATGTAGTTAAATGCAAATAAATAATATTTCCACAACCATCTGCTGTGTTAACACTGAACCTCAGCATTACCTGATTACAGAACACTTATATCTCTTGGATGGCAAGATCAATAGGCTGGAGGACCAAGTGCCCTTCAAATTAACATAGAGATTTTGATATAGTTTTCTTGGCAACAATGGGGAACTGGTTCATCAGTCCTGAGATTTCCCAAATAAATAATTTTCAAATTCATTCTCAATGGACTATATGGTAGAAGTAGTTTACTTCTCTGTAAGCTGAAAAATAAGAAAAGCTTGCCAAGTCTACCCTGTGACATGGTGGTACAGAGAAAATAGCACACAGGGAGGACTGTGGTGTAATTGATGAGGAACTTCACCACACAACCACTATCATTGTATTAAATGCACCAGGGTTATGCTGTTTGCACAGATACAGCTGTCTAATGGATGGATCAATCAATCAATCAATTCAGGGCTACGAAATTTGTAATAGTCTCGATACAACAAGTAAAATGCCAGTTCTGGGTTCATAAAAATAAATACTGGCTCCTGCCCTCTTACCTCCAGAGGTGAGATTGGCTCTTATCTCCTGATGTTTTTTGAAAGAGCCTCAAGATCTGGCTCTGCCAAATGACTTGGGGACCCAATGGGGGAGTGGTTAATTAATAAAAACCTAATCCCACCTCCTGACACCATGTATGTTTGGCTCCTACTTTTCCCATCTGGTTTTGATGGTTTGTAATTGTCAATGGCTTTATCTGCTGTTTGCTATGACTGTTGAGTTTAATGTCTTTTCTGATTTAATATTTTATGCTGTAAGCCACTCAGAGTTCTTGGATACGAGATAGGTTGCAAATAAATTTCCTAAATAAATAAATAAAGATAACCAAAACTGGTTATAGGGGGAAAAAATAGAGTCTATAAGAATTTCAAATAGTCTTTTAAATTAAAAACATAGACTTAACAAGTGTAGGAGAATAATCAAAGGAATAGTTGAGAATGAACATCAAGGGTACAGAATTTGTTGTCTTTTTGCCATTTGGTACAGTTATCCCATGTAGTAAATAGTTTCTTGCAGTATGAGTACAGTATGAATAAGGGTCAGAGTTATCAATAAATTGCTGTAGCGAATTTGTGCAGAATGAATCCATGTCATTCATGGCTATTCTGAACTGAAGATCATTCTAGTTGTGCCAGAAAACTTTCTACTTGAAAGATATTTTAGCTGTGTAGAGAAGTTCATACTCACTATGGTTGTTTGACCCTTATACATCTTAGATAATATCAAAGTTAGCAAAATAGGGAATATGAAAAAGAAAAATGTTTCATTTATTAATTAGGTAGCTAATTATAAGTCAATTGATTATGGAAGCAGATTTAACCATCAATAATTAAGTATCAACTTTAGTTGTGCTCCTTTGGTAGGTCAATTTCAGGCATTTACTGGGTTACAAAGTTGTTTATATCCATTTAATACTGAATTTAGGGCTTGCTCTGTGACAGAGATCTCTCTGGTGGAATAGTTCATTCTGTGGTAGCATAAATGAATGTGAGGATTCCCTTTCATCTTTCAAGAAGATTTTCTTCAGAATTATCTCTGTGGAGTCTATAAAAGGTTTTATATAGAAGTGTTTAACAGTTTCCTCCTTGTATGAAAATGTTGTTGTAATGTTTCCTGGTGTAGTAGTAGAAGTATTAGTAGAAGCCATTTTTTAAAAAAAAATCATAAAATATCTAGGTCAGTAGTGCCCTCCTAATATTTTGGATTTCAAAACATCCAATAGTTTTGCCAAAAGCAAAAAATGATGGATTATGAAGTTCAAAACTTCAAGTCTTGTCCATTCATATAATTGACTAATCTCTAGTCTTTATGAATCATTGTGCCCATTAAAAATCCAATTAGCTACAGCAGCAGACCTATAGATTCAATAACGATAGAGTTCTGAGCACTTTTTCATCACCATTAGTTGATTCACCAGTTGTGTTTGTTCGTGGAAGAAAAGAGACTATAGCAATTACCACTATATTTTATCTGGGTGTGACTCATGAAACAGCCTCAAAACCTGAATTGGTTCCAAAAGAATTCTCTGCTGCTACTATTCTTAGTAAAAATTATATTGCTATAAAATATCTACAATTTCAATAAGTTTTCTTTAAAAATTACATTGCATACAGGACTCAAAACCCTAGAGAATATGTCTTCTATTTCTAAATTTGTAGATTAAAGTTGAGATCCGAACTGCATTGAGGATATTACCTTGTTTGGGTAATGAAACATCTGCAAGAAAACAACCTAGGACTAAGAGCACCAAGAACCCCTCATTTCAACCCTGAAACTTGAATCATTGAGTTTTCAATTATTATTATTCATCATGTGAACCACAGTGGGAATTCTTATGGAGGAACAATGATTTATAACAATAGGAAAACAAAGTGGTAACTGCTATTGACTATTTTGGAATTATCACATAACAAAAAGCATAATAAAGAATCATAGATTAAGGGTATAATTTAATTGCCAGAGAATGGATAGATTGATTTGAAGATTAAATCCTGAAGTAGCAACTGCATTCAAGGCTATATTCTTTATTCCTCTCATTTCATGTTAGAAGTATATTATGTTCAGCCTTTATCTACATAAGTGCTTTCTTTCAATCTGTTTGTTCAAAGGGATGCAATTTTCATACCCATATGTTCTTGGGACTGTTTCCCATTTAGCTGCAATTCAAACTGATAAAAAAACAAAAAACTTCATTATGGTTCTAGAAACAACCAAGAAAGAAACTAATCAAAGGAAAGAGTCTTTTTGGTGGGGTGAAGGGAACCCAACAGAGGTGGTATTCAGCAGGTTCTGACCAGTTCTGGAGAACCGGTAGTAGAAATTTTGAGTAGTTCAGAGAACCGGCAAATACCACCTCTGACTAGAGATTTTACAGTATCCTTCCCCTGCCACGCCCTCCAAGCCATGCCCACAGAACCGGTAGTAAAAAATTTTGAATCCCATCACTGGAACCCAACTTTTCTTGCTGAGTCAACATTGTCTCATTATTAACCAACATTGCTGAAAATTGTTCCTAAATACAGTCTTACTACATTTGTTTCACTTCTAAAACTGCTGGGTATTTAAACTTTTTCAGTGACTGTCTATGCTGAGAAATTTACTCAACAGTATTTCACTTAAATACATATTGAAAGATATAGTTGTTTTAATGCAAAAGTAAACAAAATGCAATAGTTTGGGAGTTATGTATAGCTTTTGCCTTTCCTCTTTTTTGCCTTTCCTCCTTTCCTTAACCCAAAATAAGATTTTCCTCTGAAATAGGGCTACTGAAATGAAAGGTAGACCTTTGTGTTACTTCAATCACTGCAGGCACTATAAATAAAACATCTAGGCTCAACATATTCCCCAAAGCCTTCTTGGTTGATTGTACCTGCTCATTTTATGTAGTTGGTTTAAAAGAAAAATAGTACTAACTTCTATTTTTTGAAAATGTCTTCTTGCTTATTTTATGCATTAAGTTTTATTGGGATTCTTAGAGTAAAGTACAGGTAGTCTTCCATTTGCAACGGTCACGGGATCAAAATGTGGATGCTTGGCACCTGGTTCATATTTATGATGATTGCAGTGTTCCAGGGACACAAGATCCCCTTTTGCAACCTTCTGACAAGGAAAGTCAACGAGGGAGCGGATTCACTTAACAACCATGTTACTATCTTAACAACTGCAGTGATTCACTTAACAACAGTGGCAAGAAATGGTAATAAAATGGGGCAAAATTCACTTAACAAATGTTTTCCATAGCAATAGAAATTTTGGGCTCAACCGTGGTTGTAAGTCGAGGACTACCTGTAGAACAAAGTAATCAAAATACTTAAAATCCTCAGTCTAGTGGAAAGAATAGCATTCACATGGCACTAAACAGTAAAACAAATTAGATATGAGTTTCCCTCTTCCCTCATCTCTTTCAATATATTTGAATTTTCTCTGGAATTAAATTGCCTTAAATCCAAATATTTCATGTTCACTTATTCGTTACTCGGGTTACATACCTTTTAAGGAACTGGAAAATAGAAACAAATGATTTTGGGGTGTAAGCCAAGAGGGCTTGGGGAAAATTTAGAGAGTTGCTGCATAAAGGAGGAGGAGCCTCTGTGGCACAGTGATTAGAGTTCAGTATTGCAAGCTACCTCTGCAGCCAGCTGCTTACAATTTGGCGGTTCAAATCCCACCAGGCTCAAGGTTGACTCAGCCTTCCATCCTTCCGAGGTGGGTAAAATGAAGACCCAAATTGTTGGGGGCCATATGCTGACTCTGTAAACCATTTAGAGAGGGCTGTAAAAGCACAATAAAGCAGTATATAAGTCTAAGTGCTATTGCTATATGAAAGTTTAAATTTTAAAGCAGCTGAAGCCAATCCCAATCTGCACTCAGGTCATTTCCCCCACCACATCAGTCCAATGCCTTTGTCTCTGACCTATCTGCTTCTTTCCTCTTCCAGGGTTGGATTTTTTGCTTCATTTGGCCCTCTTTCCTTTGCTTATTTCTGCACTTCTCCCGACAATAAGCAGCCACAACCCCTTCCCCATCTTTTTGGATAAGGGGATGTCTTTCTAACCTACAGAGGAATTACTGACTCTGTCATCTGCACCTCTACAACTGTCTGGTTTGCCTCTGCAGCCAAACAAGACAGACGCTGACTTCAATGGATAATTAGAGCTGCAGAAAAAACAATTGCTACCAACCTGCCTTCCATTGAGGATTTGTATAGTGCACGAGTCAAAAAGAGGGCTGTGAAAATATCTACAGACCCCTCACATCCTGGACATAAATTGTTTCAATTTCTACCCTCAAAACAATGCTATGGGGCATTGCACACCAGAACAACTAGACACAAGAACAGGTTTTTTTTCCCGAAAGCCCTCACTCTGCTAAACAACACTATCAAACTATTTAGTAAAACTGTATTAC